ATTTACATAGATATAGGTAGTCAATTACACTAGTTGTGAGTGTGGTCCACGTTCATACAAACATTATAATATTTATTATTTATTGTGTAGGCCATAAGGCATATGCGTTGTGTTAAGGGGAGAGGGATTGTTATTAAAATTTGTATCTAAAATAGTGGTGGTCAAATGATTTTGTCATGGTTAGGGATATGGCTGATTTTTTAACATGCACTATTTAATTATTAAACATAATTAACTCATATGGTTACCTATCCCTCATCAGTGGGGCTGTGAATTTAATGCACTAAAAAACCTTAAAAAATGCATTAAAAAATGTCAAAAAAATGCACTTAAAATGCCAAAAATGATGTTATAAAATTCATTTTAAATGGTTTTTACCTAGCTGATACCTACATGATAGAATGTTGTCTTATGTTCAAATTAATAATTAACTACAATCACGATCCATGAGACACGAACAGTTTGTTTAACTAATTGTGATAATAATAAATTAGAGGTGTATGATTACCATATTCCGTCAAAAAATACATAGGTATATAGGTACCTATATTATAAAAATCTAAAAATAGCATTTATAGTCACTTGTATTTTCTATAACTTTACCTGTGTATATCAATGCGGATGGCCACTTCACACGGACCCGCTGTTGGAAATATTGTAAATTTTATTTTTTTTTAATTAATTAAATTAATTAAATTTTCTTCTTCTAATATTTTTTTAAATCCAAATTAAACATCACTTGTACTTAAAGTAAAAAAATGACTTTACAGATCATACAAATGCTATATTAAAAAATAAAAATATACTATAACTAGAGAGGGAACGACCCGATGAAAATTGATTTGTTCTAGACATCTTCACTGGACATCTAGTTATAGTGTTTCCACAGAGACCTCAGGGCTAACACCAATAATATCGAGTGGGTATAATATATTAATATTTTGAACTGGTAATGACACCAACAATCGAATTAATTGACTAAAATGACGAGCCTGATTAGTTGTATGAATATTTGAATTTGTGTATATTCTTTGATGGAAATCCCCGATTTCTTTCCCCCTTCTATTTTTTTTTTTGAAACGTAAAGCTGAGAACGCAACATTTACTAGTAAAGTAGTAAATTGTCAGTGTTTCTGATGCACTGGTAGGTGACAGTTAATTTTGTGGAAACTCTCTTTCTTTCATCCAACATCCACTGAGTTTCCCTTCTAATTTTTTTCCAACTCAAGCACTGAATATTAGGTGTATTACCTTTACCTACATTATATACACCAGTATATAGGTATTAGATTAATAATTATAGTTATTCAAATAGTTGTATTTTATACAGAACAACCATGAAAGATAGAGGATTGGAGATGATATCACTTCTAAGAAATGTACATGTCGGACAGCATCCCATTACATGGGTCGGTCATTCTAAAGGGGGATTGTTCATAAAACAAATATTAGTTCACGGTATTAATTTTATTTGTTCAGCATTAGTTGGGTGAATCTTTGATTATTGTTTTTCAATATTATTGTTACAGCCAATGAAAACCAGCAAACTCACAAAATCATAACAAATACCAGAGGAATATTATTTTATAGTGTTCCACATAACGGATCTCCTTTGGCCAATATAAAACTACCACTGTTTCAACGATCAATTGAATTACAAGAGTTAGTAAACGGTATAGTACCTACATGATTGTACTAACTTTGGAGGAATGATTAATAATGGTTTTAATTTTTGCTACAGATACACAAGATATACAAAAGCTTCAGAAAACATTTCATGAAATGATGAACGTTAATAGACAAATACAAGTGAAGAGTTTTATTGAAACCAAATTGACACTCATGAAACTTATTTATTTAAGAATTGTTTCTATACAGTCTGCAGGTACATCTTTTTTTTATTTTTTTTTATTTTTAAATGCGATCTACGATCTATACCACATGGCACAATAAGTAGATGTGAATGAGATTAGTTATATATACAGATAATTAAAAAAAATACATCATATTCTTAATAATATTTGTACATAATGCTTGAAAAATTTTGAGGAAAGCAGCCACCCATTAGTAACACTTTAATTTGCCTTAAATTTTTTAAATTTATTTATTTTTTTTATATTTTCAGTTTTTCAATTAAAATTAATATTAATATTAGGTAACAACAGGTACATCTGCATAGTTTAAATGTTGTATAATATGATTGGTTTATTCGTCTATAGAATTAATAGTTATATGTAGCTATAAAGGTAATTATACACAGAGTGATTTACCAAGCATGCTCACTCCCTTCTTTTTCTTCAACAATGCAGTTATTCAAAATCTAATTTTAATTTTATAGGTATACTTTAAGACTACCATATTTTCAAATTATTGACATTTTTTGTACTACTTAAAGAGGGTCCAGTAGAGAAAAACTTCTGTTTTTCAAACAAGAACACGTTCTATTCAACTATAAATTATACAGTAGATAATTTTTCTGAAATTTATGACATATCAAAATCAAAATTTGTACAAGTAGTTTTTGAGTTGTTTAACTTTGTGCTCTAAGGATAAAAGGTCCACATAATAATGAGTTTATAAGATATTTGGGCCATGGTGATTTGAAAATTGCAGCTATAAATATTAATTTATCAATATTAATAATTTGTAAAAATGGTATAATAAGAACAACATCCAATTTCACATCTATTTTATAATTATGCTGAACCAGTTTTAAGAACTATTATCCTTAATACAAACATTTTAGTAACTAGAGTTAGGATGTTGATGTCCTAAAAAACAACAAAAAAATTACCTTAAAAATAATCTAAAAAACTAATTAACTAAGTGAAAAAAATGTATTCATCAATAATAATTTTTATTAGAGATATGGGTGTGATAATGGGTATAATAGTAATTTAAAATATGAATTATAAATTATAATATTAATAAACTATAGTATACATTAACATTTTAAGCATTATATCAAATTATTAAAAAAAATTAAACTTGGATTTAACAATTGCTCTAATCTAAAATTTGAGAATTATGCCCAGCATTGTACAAACACTACAAAAAATGACCTAAAAGATGAAAAAATGAGTTAAAAATGTTGAAAAATGGAAAATATTGAAAAACAAAAAAATGCAAAATAAAATTAGAATATTCTGCACCAAGGGAACATATAACAAATTTTTAGCTAGGATAGCATTGTATAGGAACAAAAGGAAAAAATGCAAAAGTAATCAGCATCCTAACTAGTAATAACTAATAAACTACTCAATCAAATTTTGAATGTGGAACATCAACATTTTCAAAAATATTATTCACCAATTAATTTACATTAAAAAAGAGGGTTCTCATTTGAAAAACAGAAGTTTGTATCACCACAGAACATTTCTTTTAGTAGTACAAAAAAATTCCAAAAATCAGAATAAAATCATTCTTACAGGAAATGCTGGGGGTGAGCATGATAAGTGAATTACCCTGTATTTAAAAATTGTAATTACCTAGGTACTAAAATTATTTATTTATTACTCAACCATAGAATAGAAAATCTTACAATATACCTAGTGTCTTCACAACTCAAATATTTATAAGTTTTTACTCTTTAGGTATACATTCCATTTTTATTTAACTAATATATTGTAATGGACATTGTATACTCATAGCAGGTGTATAATGGTTAAGGGATACAGCCTCCCTCCACATAAAAATTCACCACATTACACTTATGATTATACTATTATACTTTTATTATAGATACTGCCTATTGGGTAGTCGAATAAAACAACATAAAAATAAATATGATTTTACTAAGGGTCCCAAGATGATCAATATTAGCCACATATGTCATAAACTCCGCGCCACAAAAGAAGGTACCCGTTTCACGCATGCAGGCCGACAGCAGTGAGCGTTACTAGGTTCCATTTTCTCCACTTTGCCCCTTAAATGCGTGAATTCATGCACAATTTGGTCAAGACAAGGGTTACTTCTCTCGTGGCGTAGAGTATATATGGTTTTTTCACAGCACTTACTCATGGAAATAATTATACAAGGTAATTTAATGTGATACATTTTTTTTAGTAATTTATTATATTTTTTGTGATTTTAAAAATAAAAATTTTTTTGAACTTGTATCACAATGTTAAAAGAAATTATTCATTTTTGTAAATAGCAGCTTATATTTGAAAAACTCTAATCTAAACATTTGAATTTTGGTCTGAAAATGTAATATTGTAAAATAAGTAGGCCTTATTTTTTTTTTTATAAGCATTTTAACTTAGTTCCCTCATTTAACTGTAGTGTTCTATTCCCCTAAAATTAAAATTCAAGCTTAAAAATAATCAACGATTGGTTCAATAATCAGGATTTCGCGACAGTCCATTTACCTATTGATGGTTCAGATTTACAAATAATAGTTAGTGTATAGACAACAACAAAATTGCCTCAAAAAATTAATGTAGTCCATTTAATGGAACACTGAATATTTTTATTTACAGAATACAATAAGTTATGTACTGAACAAATTATAAAAACATAATATTTGTTTTAAGATAGAATCAAAATCATTCTATAATATAGGACCTATGAGGCGTGCCTAGAAGTTTCCAAAAGCCCTTCCCCCTAACCCCTAACTGGGCATACCATTGATTATGGTACATATTATTGTATAATCAAATATTCACTTTTATTTTTTTATTTTATTAAGATCCAGGATTTGGAGATTTATATGGTGTTCCATTGGATCATCGAAATATTTGTAAACCAAAAAATCGGTAAGAACTACAACAAACTTAGTTATTAAAATGTATAATATAAAGTATAAAACACATAAGCATTGATTATAAAATTTATAATCAATGATATAAGTAATTTAAGATTGTTTTAATCATCTACCGTTTTTGTAAATACTTAACAAATACTCTTAAAGTAATACATATTGCAGGAATTGTTTTCTTTATCAAGAGCTGGTTAATATGATACAATCATTAAAGCAATCAACAATCGAAGAAGCGGTATAAAGGTTGTTATAAATAGTGTATATTACACATACAAAAAGTAAACAAGAGATCATTATATGTCACAAATACCAATATATCAGAATATAAATAAATAATAAATTATTATTAACAATGTTTTTAATATAAAATAAAACCGTTAGTTCAAAATAATACGTTAATATTTTATGGACAGTTACAAACAATACAATATAATTACAAATTATTTATAATAATTGGAATTTTGGCTAATCACTATTCCAATTAACTACTGTATGCAGCAACTGTTTTTATCACAGCAAATGTTTTTTGATAAACAAATGACAATCTGTAAAAACAACGAGACTTAATCATTATATTAATTAAAAACATTTATTTGATTATGTTCTGTTCACACAATTTATGAAAGTACTTTATAGAAAGAAAAATAAATATATATATTTTAAAGACTGCCACTAACCATTAATTTCTGTTTTAACCCATAGACGCAATTAGGGGGACTTGTCCTCCAGTTTTTTAATTATATTTTAGTTTAAAATATAAATCATGGAGATCTGTAATGCTGATACAATTCTAGCCCCCCAGAAAAATGTCCCTTATTCCGCCTATGTTTTAAGCAACTGTTTAAGCTACTTTATGTAAAACGACTAATGACTATACAAAAACTATTGGGTGTTAGTTATATATAAATGAATTTTAACTAAGTACAAATAAATTATAATTACAAACAATATTTTATACTTACTTAGAGTCGGCTTTGCAGATAGACATATGGTTTAATGGCAATTCGTAAAGCTCACCCACCGATGGATCTAAATAAAAAATGTTTTACATTGTGTATAAAATAACACTAAACAATGTTTAATTTAGATGTGAATGTATTATTTGGTAAATACATATTTATATACATATTATGCTCCATTAAATGACAATGTTTATGAACAACACTTATTTTGATTTGTGACTTGTGAGTGATATTATACAATTACATAACACAGATATGATTAAATAACTATATTAACTATATTAACTATATACCTATATTTAATTCATAAAATTCAAAAAATGCTATTCATTTTTTATTTTGTATTAATGATTGTGTAATAAATAGGATTTAACTAATTGCAAATTTGTTTGTGATACATAGGAAGATGGCAGATTACTTTACAGTTAAGTTACAAAAACGTTATATCCTAAAAGTAATTTAATACCAAACATTTTTAGTCCACATTTTTGCATTAATCATTTATTTTAATAATTTTCAAGCAATTTATTGCTGACTAATGTGGAAATCTTTATCAGATGCAAAAACAAAAATTGGATAGACAGATGGCATTGTAGATATCTAGTTAATTTTGAGTTGGGTCCATAAAACAATGATTAAAACTTGTTCCACAATATACTCTATAAATTGACAAAAGACTATGGAATAAGTGTATCCAGGAGCAACCAGTCACAAAAAAAAAATTAATTAATAAATAGCTTTTTAAACATATTATAGCTATAATGTTTTAAAATATATTTAACGCATCATAAGTCTCGAAGAAATCTTTGGACTAAAAAATAACACATAAAGGCTTGTCATATGAATGAATATTAATAATATAATAATCAATATTCAATATTCAATAAAAAGATTTAGGTACTTATGATATTCCAAATGATACAAGGAATGTGTTTGGTTTATAAATGTATGCTTTTAAATATTCTTTATTATATATTTTTATAAATAACACTCTTAGAGTCATGTAATGGAAAACTGAATTAAATTAGTACTTCTAGTCTAAGTTGAAGAGGTTCATTTTTTAATTTCTAAGCAGTTGCTTTAGGTATAAAAAAAACCTTGTCACAGTAACACAAAGTGAAAAAGAATTATAAAATTAATAATTATATAAATATAAAGATATGAATGATGTTCTAAATTTGTTTAAGTTGATGATTTATCATAATTTAAAATGTAATACCACTGAACACCAGGATACTATAACAAAGGTAAGTAAAGCGAGATGAGTTTTTAACAACAGCTTGCACTATTTCATATGTGTTTTTTTAATTATACATTATTTGTAACTTTTATTAATTTGTCCTAACCTTAGGAGTTGGAGAATATTTGCTTTCAAGTAATCCTTTCACTGCTCTAGACGTACTATTACATCCTTATATTTTATGATATTATCATTTGACAGTAACTGTACAGATTTAGGGAACGCTTGCTTGTATTATTTTAAACTTGAATAATTAGATCATAAAATATACTCTGCCTAACCAGAAAACATGCCACATGAAAACAAAAACTAGTAGTCTCTGCGCATCTCATACAAAATGTTTGATAGGTAGTGACATGTGGTGCCGTTTAATGTCAACAGCAGTCGATAACATTTGCCTGGTACACTACAGTTGGTTGTTGTCATGGAGGGGTTACGACAGCCCAGTCAGTTGACAAACCTCGTATTATATGAGCAGATCTGGAATATTTTCTTGTAAGACAGAGTATAGATCTCAAATTAATTTTAAAAAAGTATGTTATGTAAGCATACCACAGGTTGCAGAGTATAAAATAAATTAAAATAGTGTAGCAGTGAAAAGGTTAAATTAAACTACACTCATTTTTCAGTTGTCTAATATCTAGATAATATCTATAAATTATTAATTTATTTCTATGGGAATATTTTGTTAGTTGTTAAATTGTATATATTTAATATAATTATAAAACAATTGAAGCTTACCAGCTGCATCTTTAGGTACGCATAGTATAGGTACTTTCAAAGCAGTGAACTCTGTTGGAAGGCTTTCAGCAAAAGTAACAATCTTCATTGGGTTATCTTTTAAACATTCTAGGAAATCATTATGAAGGGATACTAACTTAGGTGAATCTGTAAAAAAAAAATGAATTAACATAATATGATATCAAAATTGACTAACAAAAGTCAAAATACCAGTTCTTAGTTCATCCACTTCTACTGATGGCCATAAAAAGAATCGATACGCGCTGTTTAAAGTAGCTAATGGTGACCCATGATGTGGTGTACTAAAAAAGAATACAGATCTTGTCTTCTCAAAAAGTTTTCTCACATTTGGATCATTACTTTTACTAGCTAAAATAGTTATTTTTTTAAATTTAATTTGCGTTCATATATTTTTACAAGTAGACATTTTACCTGCAACCAACATATTTTTTACCAAGAGTCCACCCATGGAATGAGCCAAAAAAATTATTGGCCGGTCACCAATACCAATAGCTAGTAATTGATGCATCAATTTGTCTGTGCGCCCTTCGAGTGTACGATGACTAAAAACACACATAATTTTTAAATAGTCATCATGAAACAAGTTTGAAAATCATACTTTTTTTGTTTTAAAGGACAAGATGGCAACCATTCAGATAATGTTGTACTATAATCAACACCAATCACCCGGAGACCTTCTTCATCAGTAGGTAACCAATCGGATGGCCAACATTGACTATAACCTTCATTGAGAGCAGTTTGTCGTACCATAGAATCATTCCTTTTGAGAAACAATTATGTATAATACAATTAAATATCATTGTAAAAATAAAATATTACCCTTGTAGTGAATAAACCCCATTTCCTTTTAAATTTTCTCTATGTGGTATGTCGTTCAAAACAAACTCAAATTCACTTCCAATCAAGTCCCATTCTCTAGCTTTGACTTCTTTGTAACTATCCAAATAGTTTTGCATATCTTCACCAACTGGTCTTTTTAGTGTAGTCGTATTTGATGAGTTATGAGATTCATTCTTATTATTCATATCTATAGTTAAAAAGATACAATTACTTCAGGTGAAAATTAAGATAATTACATTGAACTATAAGTATAAGATAATATATATACACAAAGATGATCAGTGAGTAAGTTGCTAAAAAAAAAAAAAATACTTAATTAAAAAAATTTAATTTACACTTCAAACCATGTAAATGTATATGTTGATTATTTTTATTATTATTATTTTCATATAAAATATGCTTGCGCCTAAAACAATTATCAGGATAAGGAGGTAAACTATTAATAAGTGTCTATAAAAAAATATGTAAGGGACTTTCAACCAGATAAGTCAACTAAAGAAATCAATATTAAAGCCCATTTACTGTTTACAAGATTATTCAGACAGCATTTTACGAACAGCAGATCTAGTAATAACTGGTGATAATATATTATAATATATTTACCAAAAAGGCCAAGAGGTTCATTAATATGTAGATCTTTTTCACGCCATGAAAAGCTGACACCACCTAATAAGCCATGTACAAGAACTACATCAATTTTAGCATCTTGGTGGTATCTATTTTTTGGGTATAATAATACTGTTTGCTTCCCAAACATATAATTTCCGTTAATTGGATCTTCATCATCCATATTTAATAATGTTCGGTTGGCCCATGACTGAATTCTAAAATTATTGTGATTCTTCCATTCAAACAAAATACTGATCCATCCTAAATCATATATAAATAAGTTGAAATAATTTATAACAATATTATCTGTTAATAATGGATACAAATAAACTAAATAATAAATAGTGCGTAGTTTTGTATTTGTTTTTACTGAGCTGATAATAAAATATCATATTTACTTTGTACATCTATAATAAATATCTATTGAAACAATATTCTTTAGACTATACCGGTTGAAAAAATATCTTGGATGAGATCTCTGTTTAAAGAAGCAACAGACAACAATTTTCCGATTTCTTCTGCTACTTGTTCATCGTGTTTTAAATACTGATATATAGCCATCAAAATTTGCAGACCTCCCAATTTAACCATGGCTGTTTATAATATTATTTTATCAATTTTGAATTCTGATTATTACAATAAATAGGTTTCATTTAAAGTATTTACCAGTAACATTTGTTTCGTTGTTACAATGGTGACGTAAAGCATTTATGCTTAACTGTAATATATTATCATTGTCTATTTGCATACTTGCAAAATCTGGTGGTACGTCTTCTAGGTGATAATAGTCATGCTGTTTATCCTAATAAATATAAATACATATAAGTATTAAGTAAAGTAATATAATATAACTAAAAACAAGTAAAAAGCACAATATGAAATGTTAAATACATGATTTTGCTTACTTTAAATGCATATGCCATAAAGTAAGATAAACATTTGTGTTCATTTAATTCATTTAATTTTATTAACAAATGACGAATTTTGTATAATATTTCCTAAATCAAAATGAATTAATTATTAGGTAATCAAAAAAAATCAAAAAATAATTATTATTATTTATACATCTTTTGTCCAGCTTATATTTCTAGGGGGTAAGAAAAATTTAGGATTAGCATTGGCTGATCGAGCCAAACCAACCAAAGTATGTGCTTCACTCATTTGTGCTAAATGTTGAAAATCTGAATCTAAAAAAAAAAAAAAATTAAAGATAAAAATGCAAAATAAATATTTATTTTACCAGTTTATATTTACTTTTTAGATGAGTCATGGTGGTCAATCGTGAAATTGCTACCCAGGATAATTTAGAATTTTTGTACTTGTTGGTTATTTCCAAAAGTTTCCAAGCCTTTTTATGTTTGAAATCATTCCATTTTTGTAAAAAAAATACAGGAGGGTTTGTTGGCTGTATTATACTGTTACCATCAATAATTTGATACTCATCGAGTTCTATACAAATAATAATATAAGATTCATAACAAGCTAAAAGTAAATTCCAAAATTAAACAAATGCAAGTAAAAAAGTAAAAAAAAGTATTTTTTACATACAATAATATTTGTATACTTCAATATTAAAACTGTTAATTTCATATATTAGGTATAAAAGGTGATATTGAAATGGGTTGAATTGAAATAAATAAATATAAATAATAATAATAATACATACATATATCAGGGGCACTGTTTAAGCACCTCCCAAAATGTTTGAGTTTTTTCATACATCATGTTTATTAAAAAAAAAATTAAAACTAATTTTCAAAAACAACCTCTGATAATGCAATGGTCTTTTGTTATATGAACTGACAGTAATTTTAAAATATTACACTAATGTTTCACAGAAGTTCACAAATTCAAATTCAATGCCTAATTCTTAATTGAAAATCATAAGAAATAGTAATAAAACAATATATTTTACACAAAAATATCATCTGACAATATATGGCATCTACTACAGTCTACAGCAGTACAGCTCAAATGGTATTAAGTGCATAAAGTTTACCAGTGAATGCGGCCCTGTCGACAAATATATATTCTGGTGCCTTGTAGTTCAACAGCATTGGATCTTTTTGTACGCAACGTTCAATGGTCAAAACCGTCTCATGAAACTCGTATGCCAGCCATCCTAGACCGCCGGTTACCACACAATAGGCTATGGACTCGGCAAATAAACGGATCTGTTTGTGATTTTCTGACACACTGTTGGACAGTTTGGCCAGCTTTTCGCGTAACTTACTGAATGGTATCGATCTAAACATGGACAATCCTGTCATGTTCAATAGTTTTCAGCAAACACTTGCAACTGATCAACCGTCGCCATCAATCTGACGTTGTCCAGGGTCTAATGAGTAGGCAGTGTTCTGTGCAGCTTCAAGCTAATGAGTACAACAATAGGTATAACATTTATCATTTATCACCGTCCATTGTGATGTAAACGTTTGAACGAATATGATTCGTCACTCCATGTCGTACGATTTTTAAGAAATAATGTTATTTGCTAATGGTAAACAATTGAATTGCCAATTTTTTTCTTCAGACTATGGTCAACAATCAACAATTTGCACTGATATTGTTGTTTATGTTTATACTTTTATAATATAATTTGATAACACGTCACGGTTAAAGGATAACACAGAATAAAAAGGATAATCTATTATCTATTCTATAATCGTGGTGTGATTAGGTGACTCGTAAAGTTTCTGAATTGTAGAAGAACCTAGTAGCGCTACCACGTAAAGTGTCAGTTGTTCGTACTAATCTATGCATATAAAATCCAAATACCACTTGGTCACTGATCGCTGTAACTCAAAAACTACGCAACGTACGAACTTGAAATTTGGAATAGAGGTTCTTCTCATATTTTCACCGCGCGATTTTCAAAAATGTTGCGTTTTAGTGGAGTAATTAACAATTATAATTATTCATCGCCAATATGTATTGTGCTGCACGCCTGCACGGCACAGGCTCATGGCGGCCAGCGGGTTTCTAGCTACCGGCAACCTATCCTTTTTGTCCATCGTGTGGATAAGAATTGTTCCGTGAAGTTATAGGGATATATTGTAAATATGAAAAAAAATCAAATACACACGGGCGAAGCCGGGTAATTCAGCTAGTATATTTAATATTATCAAGTTTAGCTATTAGGCGTTAACTCTGTTAGTTTAAAAATTAGAGTGAACTAACCTATACAATTTAAAGGTAAGATTATTATCTAGGGGCACCCCATATGCTTTTTATTAAGTTTTAATCTTAAAGTTAGTTATGAGTAGGTATTTTAAAACGGTAAATTGTTTGTGCATCTTAAAATAGTTACTCATCACAGACTTTAAAAATTAAATAATATTATTAAAATAAAAAGCCTATATGAGATGCCCCATAAATAATAATCTCACATTTAGATTTTATTCAACGTTTTAAACTAACGGAGCTAAACGTGTTCTGCTGAATTTAAAATTTGCCATGTTATCAGCTATATACAGGTACGCGTTTGTTAGACGGATGTCTATAACAAATGTCCGTGTAGAGTAGGGGTAATCGTAAGAGCCACATCATTCTGCATATTTTTTTGAACTCTTGTCTCCATCTTACAAACACATAACGTAGCAAATTGTTCCTACGCTCAGCAGATCACGTTTAGCTACGTCAGTTTAAAAATTAGAGTTAATCGACCTATTATAAGACTTGATGGTATAAGAACATTATCTGTGTTCCTATGTTTTTTTTTTTTACGATAGTTCAAATTTGAGTGAGTTATGACTTTATGAGCATATTTTGTAATTTACGCTATTTGTAATTTATGCATAAGGTGCTAAAAAATTTATTGAACTATCGTAAAAAAAACATAACAGGAACACAGATAATACCTAATATTACCATCAAGTTTTATAATCGATCGATTCACTCTAATTTTTAAACTAACGGAATTAAATGTGATCTGCTGAGGATAAATTTGCAATGTTACCTCTTAACTACTCACTTGTAAGGCGGAAACAACAATTAATGTCCGTGTAGGGTCCTCTTAAGAACTATTATTATAATAGTTTGTTTTTAGACATTTTAGTTTACCAAGCGTCATACCCTTTGTATTTCCGCTGTTTAAGAATCGGAACTTACAATTATACTACACAATTGATAATATTTTTTAACTACCTATAATAATTTATTATATAATATTACCTATGAATAAATAAATAATAGCGAGTAGTTACCAATCATAATCATAGAACAATACTATACTTCTACCTATATGTATTTCAAACCAATAAATATTACCAAACTGAACATAATTTAATGTCTCATCACCACGGTGGTTGACTACACTAAAGAGGTTCATTCTATTTTACATTTTTATACCAGGAAGAAGTTCTAGTTTTGGTTAGGTTAGGTTGGTTTAGGTTTCCCCTTGCCTATCACACCGCAGTCCAAAACTATATTCGACATTCGTAAGTAGCGCCGAATGGTGCCGAAGTGTAGAACATTGACTCTACATTTGATACTGTTTAAGGGCCTGCTCACTTTTAAGTCCATTTAAGTAGCCTTTTACGATGGTTGCCATGAGTATATTCTAACTCCTGTCCACAGGGGATTAATTATTGTAGAGATATAAAAATATTATTTATAAGAGCATTTTCTGGACTTGATACAATATTGGGTGTTATTGTGTTATTTATGGACATTACATTTTTTATCTATTGATGTAGAATAAAATATGTTGGATTTAAGTACAAAAGCTTGAAAATGTAATACAATATTTTTCAAAACTTTTTTACTGGAAATTAAAAAAAAAGTTTAGTTTAAAGTCGATAAGTACCTTTTTATTAGCCCACCTTAAACATTATAAACATCATCCGGTATTCAAACATAGTTACAACAATTTATACATTTGTTATTTTGTTAAAATTCGAAAAATATTAATCATAAGAATTTGAAACATTTAAGACATTCTAAACATTTCTAAAATACGGAGATAAGAATTCTCTGTTTAGAGACAGTGAATTTTTAAAAATATTTAGACTAATTCTAAGATTCGCTATTATATAGTAATTTGAAATTATTATTTTCGGACTTTTTTTAATTTTTTATTTCTATGAATGTAGACAAAAATCTGTATATCGAACGACGATCTTTAATCCCAAATAAGTTGTTCAAAATTTAAAAGTATTGAAAATGCATAGGCAAAGTTGTTGTTCATGTATAGACATTACGAGTTCAAAGATCGACAAAATTGAATATTAAAACAAAAAATAACGATTTAACAATAAATTCTATTTTCTGGAACTTGATACTTTTCAACACTGCCTATACGTATATTATTATTTACTACGAGGACACAATGACATTATCTAAATATTTAGATTAATTTTTATTTTTTACCTATTTATCCCACAAACCTATTCATAGATCATTCCGTTTTAGAGTTCTACGGTTTGTCTGTTTTATACCTATATAAAATAAATAAAATAAATAATATTATGAATGATAATATTACATTTATGAATTATGATTATATTATGAAACGATATTATCATAATATGCAATTTGTTGTGAACGAAAATCAGTACAATCTACCTATAGGTATAGGTTAGGTTAGGTTAGGTTAGGTTAGATATATATATCGTATTTCTAAAATAAAAATAAGTTACTAACAGCAATATAAATATATAATAAAGTATCCTTAGAAATAAAGTGTGACTGACCAGTAACCGTTTCCTCCCAGAATCGTTTTTCGTATTCATTGATTTATCATTCAATTCGAATTTAACACATCCATTATAGTGACCTAATCAATGACGATTGACGAGATACACTTAACGTATCGACCCTATATATGTATTAGAGTGACTTACCACATTTTATTTTCATTTAAATTACATTTCGTCATTCGATGTACAAATCAAAATTAATTAAAAATATTCTTATATAATATAATGTAATAAAAATAACATTTTTCATAGTTTTACAAAAAAATTATAAATATTGTCAAAGGCACAAACAAGAGTTTTTGATATATTCTCTAATATTTTATTGCATTTACTTGTTTATAACCGAATGTCGGATGAATGTATAGTTTGTTTAACATTTTTATTTCACATCTATGAAAAAGTTTTATGTATATACTTCTGTTTGATACAATTATGTTTTATTTATTGTGTAGTAATTTTTTTAAAAAAATTTTCATATAATATTACATGGCGAAATATTGATTGCAAAAATATCCAACCCTGCTAATTTATGGGTAACAAAACAATAGATTGAAGTACTTTTCAACTTCCAAAGAATAACTTATATTTTACATGAAATCCTTGTATCATTATTTAATATATTGAATATTTTCTATATTAATTACCTAATAAGTAGTCAGGTTTTATTTTTACAGCTTAATTTAAAAGATGAAAATGTGTTTAGAAAAATAACAGACTAACCATACAACTGTAACTGCAGTAGACGGTGGTAGGTAGTAGGCACCTATACCTATTAAGTAAATGTATACATTTATTTTAACTTCATTATTTTAAGGTTTAAGCAAAATATTATATACCTACTATATAAACCATATGGTTTTTGTTATTTTTTGTTATTTTTTCCGGTATACCTAATATTTTCATTACTCGGTAATTCATCATTTTTACAAATTGAATTATACGAGTTTAATACAAATTATATTGTTGTTGTTGTATTCTTATAAGGAGTTAACGACAGGTAATATTCGACCTATCTGTTACTAAAATACTACTAAATAATAAACAGTTACAAATAAGAATAAAAATTAAATTAAACGTATTATGTATAAAAACATTGAATTAATTATAATATTTATTACTATTTTAGATTCTGAGCGGAGCGATGAATGTATTGATTTTACAATGTTGTGTTTTTTATGTCTGTCATCATGGTTTGGGGCAGTGCAAGTGCTTCGATTTTCTTCAACAGTTATTCAAACAACAAATATTTGTTATAAGTATATAGTATTTACCGATAAAGTAGAAGTTAATAAGTAAAATCACTTATATTTTATAAAAAACATATAATTATGTTGATACGTTGTAATCTGCCCACCTAATTTTTATGTATTAATTCTTAGGAGGTAGGTAGCAACGATTTAACATGATGCTCGTTTTAGTTTTGCAAATAGTAAAACCATAGTAGGTTTAGATTCATAAGTTTTTTCTACAATCATTTAGTGTATTATGAGGTATACGTTTATTGGTACTATATATTGTAAGCATACCCATTACAGAACATTTTTTTTATTTACAGAAAATATTTAATTAAAATTATAAACGAGAATTAATGTTTATATTATTTAGATAAATAAATAATAATGATATGAAAATCAACATTGTGTGTTATGTAGAGCGTATTACCGAGTGATGGTATTAATAATGTACAATAATGTACATTTTTTTCAATATTATAATATTATGATATTACGAACTTTATTGAAGAGTAGATGATAAAAAAGAACTGATATAGCAGGTCGCCATGCACATTAAATCATGTGGGGCGTTATCAATTAGACTCATGACCATTATACTGTTGTCATCTAGATATGATTTAAGAAACTGTTTTTGGACATGGATTTATGCTTATGTATCATATTTAGTACTTC